TATATATATATATATATATATATATATATATATATATATATATATAGCTAGCTTTGTTTTATGTTACAATGTCTTTACTTTTGCTCTGATAAGCAATAAAGGTCTATTTTATTCTTACACCAACATGTAGCCACACCAAAGTGGAAGTTGGGATCTCACCAGTTTTTCAAGTCATCCATCTCACAAGACAGACAGGCAGACTGGGAGTATTTTTGTCTCTCTTCACTTCTCAGTGGGGGACATGAATCAGACTTTTCATGACTGAACAAGCATTTTGTCATCTTAGATTAAAATCTGCCAGGAAGCTGCAGAGTAAACTTTAAAACTGCTTCTGAATGTTTCTGACTTGTAGTGGAGGCTCTAAATTCACAGAATCATCTCTCGGCAAATGTTGAAGACTCACATTGTGCACAGGAAAAACTAAAGTGTGTGACTTCACTGACTGAGGAGGTCAGCTTGTTGTCAGACGCAGTTTTTCTTTGAGTGTATCCAGTTTATGTGCTTGGAAACACGAATGCAGGCTGTGTTAGCAGGAGCGTCGTACCTCAATGCTCGTAATGGAACAGAAGTGATGGAAATGTCATGAGTGGTGGTAGCAGGGCACACACACACACACACAGATTGCAAACGATGACAGCGTTCAGCACTTATATGGAGTCGTCTGTCTGAACGACCTCCTGTCATGGCTCTGCTGCAGGACAGCTTCTTCCCGTCGTCTTATTTCTTTTCCTCACTTTTATTGTCCCCGTCCGTCTATCCGTCCGTGCACGTTGCAAGCATGATACATAGAAAAGTAGGTGAGGTGCCAACTTCCATTTTGGTGTGTGGCTTCATCTAGGTGAGAGTCATGTCAAAATCCAAGATGTTCTGCAGCCATATGTGTAGATATGTTGACCTTGTGAGCTGGATAACTTGAAAATAATCGTCACAGCTAGCAAACACAATGAGTACCGTATACGGCACTTTATATGTCCATCAACAAACGATTATACAACAGACTATAGTGATGGCCCAGACGAGTACAGCATTTGACCTTGATTTGTGACCTTGATCTTGGAGCTGGAATGATGAAGGTGTATGTAACACTCCGTCTGGTGATGGTGCATTTGTGTTTTGAAGTTTTGTATTATCTTGAGCAGATCAGAAGTTATGGATGGAAGAAGAGAGTGTTTTTAGACGGACGAAGACTGAACCATGATTCATCTCGTCCTTGATGAGGCGTATAAAAATGACCAACAGACAGATTTACAGATGTTGAGCTCAAAGTTTTATGGGAGCTGAGAGTCCTTCCCAACACATACTTTTATGTGCAAACCGATCGGGCAAGATTTATATTCAGAACGTCCCAATTACCTATTGAAGTCAACTTTATCTGTCTGTTAGCAAAATATCTCATGAGCCAGTGAATGGATTTAAATGAAATGATCAGAAAACCGTTATTGTACGTACATCTACAACTGATTAACTTTTGGATTCAGCACAATTCAAGATGGCTGCCACAGCTAACTGACCTTACATATCACAAAATGTCTTTAACTCAGCCACTTTTACTGATGGTGAGTTGATCTTTGGTGTGGAAGTAGCTGAGAGTTGCCCCTTTCATACTTTTATACACATTGACATAATTTTTGCCTAAAACCTTTATTTTAACCATGTTTGCATGTTAGCAAAATATCTCACAAATGACAGGAACAAATTAATGGAAAATGCGCAATTTAATCCCTGGACGTAAACTTACAACTGAAACCATTTTAGAGTCACTCAAATTCAAGATTGCCACCACAGCTAATCAATATTAGTTGATACGTAAATGGCTATAAATCTGTCACGTTTGAAGATTTTGAGCTAAAACTATGTGGTAGTAGCTGAGAGTCATCCTCAACACACAGTGGAATACCACAAATCGCAAACTGTGGCGGCCATCTTGGATCAAAACTATATAATGGTGACGTGATTGCCATCAAGCAGTGCTAGACCTTTGCTTAGCTTTATTTCACCCCCTCCTGCTCCCGGTCCCTCCAGCCTTTCTGGCCCGTGAGTGATGCATTGGAGGTATTTGGAGAATTCCCTTCTCTGAGCAAAACAACGCCGCCCTGCTGCTGTTTCTCTCCTCCACATGGAAAAGCTCGACCCAAATAAGGCAGACCATCTGAACCTGACGTGAGGAGACGAGACGCAGCAGGCAGCTGCTGAAAGGCCACGGCCTTATATGGATGAAGTTTCCATTTCTCCTTCCTCCTTCTCCTCCACGGGTCCCTCCTTCTGCCTCTGCAGTGAAGTCATCTTTCCTTTCTCCTCCTTTTTAAGCTGACATTGTTTGGGAGGGAGGTCCCTGGGAAAAACATATACAAAGTCTAAGTCAAGCGTCCCGTCTCGTCCCCCACACTGCACCAGAGGCCAGCACTGAGCGCACATTTACCTCCAAACAGTGAGTATACTCCGCTCCTATTAACAGTAAACCTTCAGCTGGATTTGGCACAGAGAGGGAAGCAAAATGATGAGCCAGATTAAAGTGACATCACTTTTATTAAGACAAACCAGTCAATGCTTTAACTTCTTATAAAATTAAATATTCCATTCAGTCTTTATGTGGCTATGAGATAGGACAGAGAGGCATCTGAATGCACACATATGAGATGCAGTGAACTGTTTCTACGGTAAATGAAATGTCCTTTTACACATCTATACAGAAAATGGACAACATTTAAAAATGATTGGAAATGTTCAGTTTAACATGGGTTTTCTATTTTGTCATGTTTTACCCTTCATACCTGCTTTAGATGTTATTTTTTTTACAGATTTTAATGGATAGTCTCAGAATTTTCCATGCAAAGCAAGAAGAAAAGCAGATCTGAGCTTGTGGAACATGTTTGTACTTTTATTGGCACACGGGTCTAAGACGGATTTCTGTCATTTTGAACGTTTATTTATTTTGAAGTCAGTATCATTACTGTCAGGTGATAAAAATATCAGCGGTATCAGATATGAGTTGTGAACGCACAAAAAGTATGAATAGTAAAAATAGATAGATAACTAGATAGATAGATATTTACAGGTCTCTCTTGTAAGTGAGTCCAGAGGCTCATTGAGATTAATCTGTATAAATAAAGGTTGAAAGTCATGTTCAAAACTGCACAGATGGATTTGCACGGGCGTTTAAACACGTAGGTTTGTGATTTGCGTAAACGCTACTTTGGACTAAAGAGAAGAAGCAGATGATTAAAGCGGGCATCACACCTGCCGTTTCCGGTAAAGGCCGACCTGCAAACGAGGGAGTGCCGGCGGGCGGGTTGGTTTCCAAACAGCAGGAGTTGATAACGTTATCTGGCAGCACATAAACAAAGCAGAGGCGTGCTCACTGAGAAGCCTGAAAAGTTACCACATCTGTTTGGCACTCAGGCGGGTCGAGTTGGACGGCGCTTCAGGCTCTGATCTGATCTGACAAGCAGTACGTACACGGTTTCAGATCAATCAGAACCACGAAGGAACCTTGGCAACGGCAGGGATCCCACAACCCAGAGCTGTGACGGCAGCCGTTCATCACGAGAGGCGCAGCATCCTTCATCCAGATGTTTCAGCTAGGACTGCTGATCCAGCCCGTCCAGACCTGAGAGAAACTCACAGTCAGATGCTACACGCTCTTATTTACATTTCACAGTGTGCTCATACCAAACCCATATTTGGTGGTTTGACTGCAAGAGCTGCATGACTCCACATCCTGATGCGCTGCCACTGGAGCCGCAGGCCTCAGGCTGGTTTCCTGCTCTGGCATCAGACCCATTCACCATGGCGATACAGAAACAGAGCAGGAAAACAGCGGGACGGATGAATGACTGAACAGGGACAGAGTTGATGAAGTCACGTTTGTGGGAACAGGAGGCTCTTTGAGATGTTTCTGATCAGGCTTTTTAAATTTTAATAACTGACTACAAGACTTTTCCCCTTTTCGTGAGCTCTTGTTTTGTTGCTACTTGTGCAGAACAAAAGAACTGATGATTTTAACATCAAATGTCACAAGAAAAATGTTACTTCCTGTGAAAATGCTTATTGCTGAATGATTTTTGCTGAAACCACCTGAAAAGCTGTCATCTCTAAACTGTTACTGTGAGTTGCTGGTGTAGATTCTCAGTCATCCAGGACATGGTAAATCCATCCATTGGATCGTGGGGGTCACCGGTACCCATATCCAGCAGTCACTGTGCGAGGGGCGGGGGACACCCTGGACAGGTGTCCAGTCCATCACAGGGACACAGAGAGACAAAAAAGCATTCACTCTCTTACTCAAACCTAGAGACAGTTCAGCCAAACATGCATGTCTTTGATCTGTGGGAGAAAACCGGAGTTCCCAGAGAAAACCCACCCATGCATGAAGAGAACATGCAAACTCCACCCAGAAAGGCCCCCAGACTGGGATTTGAACCAGGGCGACCTTTTCACTGAGAGGTGGCAACTCTATGAATTGCACCACCATACCACCATGGTAAATCCAAAAAAGGTTCAAAACAAAAACAACTGGACTTCTATTCTGTAGAATATAATTCTATTCTATCTTCTATTCTACAAAAGAGAAGTCATTATTTTTGGTTTTAACCTTTAATGGGTTTGTTAATGTGAGTTGAATCTGAACAGCTGACATTTGCTGAAAGCAGAAAAATAAAAACAGAGCAACCGAAAAGAGGCAGAAATGTAGCAGAATGAGCCAAAAAAGGCAGAAAAAGGCTGAATAGATTATGAAAAACATTGAAATTAGAAGCAAAACACTGAAATTATAAGAAAAAGATTCATGATACATAACGATATAACTAAAAAGTAGCTGGGGAAAAAAGCACACAAAAAAGTTGAATTTAGAAAAAGAAGCTGAAAAGAGCTTCTACAGTTGAAGTTAGCAGAAAGAAGCTGAACGAAAACAGCAACTCTAAGTTTGAGGCTTACTTTTTAGTTTGTTTCTGTCTGCCTGTTTTTGAAGTTGCAGTTAGTGAGTGAGAGATGCACATGGGAAGTTACCATGGCAACCACCATGAGCCACTGGCAGCAGCTGAAACGTTTTTTTAATCTTTGTTTTCTTAACACGTTGTGTACACAGTTCATTTATCAAAATGTAGGTATTTTCTGAGCTGATGTTGGACTTTTGGACAGTAGTACTTATTTTATTAGAAGTATTTTAGTGATACATGGGTCTGATACTACAATAGTACTCACAGGAGCTTCAGAACCTGCAGCTGCAATGGGAGTAATAAAAATAATTAATGCAGGGCTAGTTATTATTATAGTCCAGCCCCAAACATAAAATGTGTCATTTTTTATTGTGGTTACAAAATGTACTTACCTTTTTGTCCCCCGTCGCAGAGCGAAGAGGAAAAACTAAAATACCCTCAGTCTGTCTGTTTGTGCACTTTGTGAGCATGATAACGTGAAAAATAAGTTCAGTACCAACTTCCAGCTTGGTGTGAGGCTGCATCTAGGGATAAAAAAAGGTTTCTTTCAAAAACTGGATTCCAAAAATGCAAGATGGCTGGCACCATATGTAAATAGATGGTAAATGGACTGTACTTGTAGAGCGCCTTTCTATCTTATCAAGATACTCTAAGCACTTTACACAACAATCTGTGTCCTCATTTACTCATTCATACAGCACTCTACTAGATCTGTACAAAGAATAATCAGTGCTTCATCACATTCATACACTGATGGGTCACACATTGGAGAAAATGAGAGGTTCAGTGTCTTGCCCAGGGACACTTCGACAAGTGACTGCTGGTGGAATTGAACCCCCAACTCTTGCATTTGAGGATGACTGCTCTAACCACTCAGCCACAGCTGCCCCTATTGTAACCTTATGTTGGAAAGTAAGAAACGCACCAATTTTGATTTTGGTTTGTAGTTACATCTAGGTGTGAACAATGTCACAATGAAATATTTGATTGCAACATCAAAATCCAAAATAGCTGCCTCTCTCTCTCTCAATCATACATACATATGTATATATATATATATATATATATGGATTTGCACCATGTCCAGGGTGTCTCCCGCCTCTTTCACAGTGACTGCTGGACATGGGTACCAGTGACCCCCAAAACCCAAAGAGGAAAAAGCGAGTAAAGATGATGGGTGGATGGCTATACCAGTATATATTTGTGTGTGTGTGGTGGGGAAATCAACCACCCCTATCATTTGAAGAAACTATTATTTTTATTTTATATTGCTGGTTATTAGTTTCTTCAAATGACTGGGGTGGTCAAAGTTTAATCTATGGTGGCTAAGGCCACCATTGGCCACCCCCTGACTCCGGACAAGCATAACATAAAATAAAAAGCAATACAACCTTATTCTTCTACACAGTGTAGCTCCTACCCTCTTGAATATCTTGCACCAAAAACGTTAAGGTTTATTTGCATTTTCTGCTCATTTCCAAAACTACAAACATTCACTTTTCAAATCCCTCAGCGATGGGGGACATTGATGGACCGGTTGTTTTAAACAACTAGTTCTTGTGTAACTGGTACCTGAGGCACAACCTGCAGCTGCAGAAACCCAAAAGTGTTATCTTTCATGTTTAAGGAACAAAGAACAACATGTAGTTTGTAATAAAGAAGCCAGGCAGCTCAGAAGCTTGTTGAGCAGACAACCCAGACCCATTTGATCCTGGGCTGAGCGCCAAACATAACCGCAGGTCCCTGCTTGCTCATAAATACCAAAGACTGAGCTCTCATAGACTCACTTAACCTTCAAAAACATTACACAAACTTTGTGTGCACGTTTTTCTCCCCGTGCTCTCCTCTTCTTGGCGTGAAGCATGCAGGATAAAGAACATAACTTTCTTTTCCCCTGCAAAGAGTTTATAACATGTTATTTTCATTTGTGGTTCACAGAGTACTTTATGAGGCTAACGAGAGGCCAGCGGAAAAATAGACAAGCTAAGGAAATACCAGACCAATGTTGTTCTGTAATAATGCTCACATAATGAAGAACTGTGAGTTATGAGGGCTTCAGTATCCCTGAGAAAGATGTTTTAGATTAAGTAGTTTATGTAAACGTGTGGCTGTCTGTAGGTGTGTGTGTGTGTGTTTAGTTTGTGTGCAGAAAACCACCACAGGGAAGGAAAACAGTTTTAAAGACAGTTTGTGGTAACACGCTGTGGGCAGGAGTCGTTCTGACTCTCACATGCAGACATGCAGTGTATCGACTGTTATCCCATTTAAAACAAATAAAAAGCTACTTTACTTTAAATAGTTCTGAATATTTCCAATGCAAAGTGAGTGAAACAGATGGAGCTTCAGTAATCTGTCCAGTGAACAGAGCAGCGTGTTAAAGTGTTCCTGCTTGAATCAAAAAAGGAGCAAGAAACTCAAAACAGGAGCCCCAAAGAAATATTTTTTCTTAAATCTTTGTCGTCATTGACAAATAGAGTCAGATTACCATGTTGAAATAGCTAACTCTGTTCTGAATTACTTTAATGTAACTAACTTAATGTTTGGTGCACTAGTTTTGAATTGTCAGTATCATACCTGCAGTAGATATCAGTTGGAGCGATGTCATCACTCACGATTTGACAGACCGTCACTTCCACATTCACCAGAATATCCCTTTAAGACAGCGAAAGTTTATTCAGCAGCGTTCCTCCAAGTTGTGTTTTTATGCAACAGTACAATGAAATGCTCAGGATGAGAAGAACCGATTTGACTCGCTAAAAAAAAATCAAAGAACAAACAAGAAATAATAAAAGCACAAGGATACACAAAAAAGGGAACAAAAAGTGAAAAAGTAATTATAATATTTACAATGTCCTAAAGAAAGATAGTAAACAACAACATGGTAGAATATAATTGTGCAGCAGGATGAATTTGAATGAATAAGTATTTCCAGGTAGTAATATAAGTTAAAATGCACATTATATATATATATATATATATATATATATATATATATATATATATATATATATATATATATATAATTGCTCATAGACAGAAGGGTGTTGTTGCCAGAACAACGCGCGTCTCTTCCTGTGCCAGAAACAAGTGTCCTCAGGTCCACTCCTGAGTTTAACCTTCAACATGTTGACTCTGAACCTCCTCAGGAACAGGAAGTTGACGTGACCTGACATCAAGATGGCAGCAAAGGTTGGATGGTTCTGACAGCACTTTGATACACATTTTGCACTTGGCTGTTGGCCCAAAGGCAACGCAGATAAATATACATGTTTTAAAAGTACCACTGGCAGTGTGAATGTGCTAGCAGAGACTGCGTATGTTTGTGTGCGTAAAAGGAGAAAACTCAGCTAGCTGATGTGCTGTAGCGCTCCCTCTGTACACCATCCAGACCCACTGCAGGTTCTGGCAGGGCTGAATGAGGTGCATCAGGAGACATGAAGCTGCGAGTGCCACTGATCAGGAGCAGGATCCAAACTGAGCGCCAAGCATTCGTACACACGCTTCTGCCCTGCATGTGGTCAGTGTTTGTGCTGCTCTGATGTAAAGAGTGTGGAAGGCGGGAGTGTTAACAGGAAGTAGGCCTTTAATGAGGCTGTTCACACGTAAACACCGCAGTACGAGTGTGTGTGTGTTGCCTGCAGCTGGAAAAAATTCATACTGCTTCGTAAAAGGCTTCGTGTTGCTTGCATTGATTTGAAGCAATCTTTTGGACGGTTTTTAATAAAACATCTACAGCTGAGTCAATCCAATACAAGATGGCCGTCAGCGCTAAGTGTCAATAGCGAACACAAAAATGGCTCCAACCACCAGATTTTTCCGGCTTTTGAGCTAAAATTTGGTGTGGTTGTAGCTGAGCATCATCCCCAACTGATGCTCTGAGAGCTTCGTGATTAGATGGGACTTGTTTTTTGTCTGTTAGCAAAATATTTCATGAACTGATGGACAAAATTTTATGAACTTTCAGAAAACAATTTGGTGAACATTTGCAGATGATTACTTTTTACAAAACGAGACGTTCACCACAGACAACTGATCTTAGAACACACTCAGTCGATTTTAGAATAATTCAGCTAAAGTTTGGCGTGTTATTAGCTGCGACTCATCCCCTACAGGCAAACTGATCACACAAGATTTATTTTTAATTTGGCATTTAACTGTTGGAGCCAATATTTAGGAAAATGTTCCATGAATCACAGGACAGACTTTATTAAAGTCTCTATAACTAACCATTAAACGTGCATCTACAACTGAACATATTTTAGTCTATTTATTCCAAGATGGACACCAGAGATAATTCAGCTCAGCCAACACAAAAATGGCCATAACGTTCAGATTTACAGACATTGAGCTAAGGTTTGCAAGGTCTGTATTCCGTCTAATAATAAGATTATTTTAGTTTAAAACTCAGGCATAAAAGTTTTTCAAGGAATGCTGGCTTTTATTTTATTTATTTATTCTAACAGTAATACCCATTATAAATTGTCAAGATGGCTGACAAGCACCATATTTCAAGTGCCACACAAATAAATAGAAGCTGAGGTTTCTCAACAGGCCTGCAGCAGCTCTGGTTATTTGTAGATCTCATATTTCCCCTTTTTCTCATGCATTTCCTTCCTCGTCCCTTAGGGTGTCAGCATGGCTAACAAGGGTCCATCCTATGGCCTGAGCCGGCAGGTTCAGGACAAGATCGACAGCAAGTACGACCTGGAGCTGGAGCAGATCCTGGTGGAGTGGATCAGCCGTCAGTGTGGTTCTGGTGTGGGGAAGCCAGAAGCCGGCAAACTGGGCTTCCAGGCCTGGCTGAAGGATGGATGTGTGAGTGCACCGGCCTCGTCAGGCAAAATTAGTAATGTTTTTATCTTTGTGAGCTTGGTTCTAATCCTTTGGTTTTGATGTGGTCTTTTTAGGTCCTGAGTGAACTTATCAACAGCTTGTTTGCTGGGGACAAACCTATAAAGAAGATCCAGAGCTCGCCCATGGCTTTCAAACAGATGGAGCAGATCTCACAGTTCCTCAAAGCTGCAGAAAAGTATGGCGTCACCAAGACCGACATGTTCCAGACTGTGGACCTCTGGGAAGGTCAGAGAGCTTTCAGTGGCTCCAACAAACACAGCAAACAAGCATTACGAATGATCTCTCCATCTAAACCAGGGTTGTCCAACCCTTGGTCCTCAAGGGCCACTTTTCTGCAAGTTTTAAAGTTTCTCCGCTCCAAAACACCTGATTTGAATGAATCGGTGATTCACGGGCTTCAGCAGAACTTGAAGAGTTAATTCAATCACTGAATCAGGTGTGTTGGAGCAGGGAAACAAGTAAAACATGCAGTGTAGTGGCCCTCGGGGACAAGGATTGGACACCTCTGATCCAAACTGTGTGTCCTGGTACAGGTAAGGACCTGGCGGCAGTGCAGAGGACCCTCTCAGCCCTGGGCAGCTTGGCCGTCACAAAGGATGAAGGCACGTACAATGGAGACCCCAACTGGTTCTTCAAGTGAGTCCAATAAATGAACCGGGCCAACAGATTGTATCAGACATGGACAAACACTGGAGGGGTATTTCAGTGCTTGTGTGACGTTTACAATGTTGCGTTGCAGGAAAGCGCAGGAGAACAAGCGGGATTTCAGCGACGAGCAGATAAAGGCGGGGAAAAACGTGATCGGCTTACAGATGGGCTCCAATAAGGGGGCCAGCCAGGAGGGAATGAGCTATGGAAGACCCCGGCAGATTCTGTAACATCCCCTGAGTCACAAATATGCAGAACCTTTTTGTTTACCCAACGCATAAGAACCTTTAAATGTCTTTGTTACAACTCCATGTTCCACTTTGGAATAAAGGGATTTCCTAAATAAACTAGTCTCCTCCTAAATCGAGAGTCTCCTAAACGCAAGCTTGCACTGGTGACCTCCTCACCATGCTTTGTCCTCCAACTGCAGCGACAGAGTGCCTTAAGATGCAAAGATAGCAAAACTAATACACACACTGAAATGACTGATTCTTTGACGGTACAAAAGTCTAACAAAGAGCTCCCAGTTTCCTCAGCTTCATCTCTGATACGTAACACACGTTTGAACTAATAATATTATGTTCCAATGATTTATAAAACGTCCCTTTTGGGTTCTTAAATACAATTTGCCTACTTAGAAATTGTAAAATGCATCCTTATGGTGTGCCAGTAATCCTTGTTTTTTACTGAAACTTATTATGTAGTTACCTCCCTCTTTGCTGTTGTATCAATGCCAATCATTTTTGTACATTGTCTTATAAAATATTGAGTATAATAAATTTCTCAACTGATCTTTGATTCTGAGTATTTCCACCCTAACAATACACCTCATCTGACACTCTGAGTTCAGACCAGTGGATAATACTTGGGGCCTTCTACGCCTTCAAAGAAGGCCCATGAATTCAGCAAGTATGAAATTTTACAAATTAATTTTTATGAAACTTTTATTTTATATGGTATACATTTTCTATGTAGTTTTTCCTTACTATTTCAAACTAATTTGAAGTTGAGCAATAAACTTTTAATTTATGATTATACGGTTGTCCAATCAGATTCTTTTAAATTTTTGTCTCCAAGCAAAAACGTTGATGTAGAGTTGGTGGGAACAAAACACAGGCCTCTGAGCCTTCAGGAAGGCCCTGCAGATGTTTCTTTCTTTTTTATTTCTTTTTTTTTTTAATTACCACAAATATTTGTGATGCATTCAGTTATGAATGTAAAAATCCACAGTGAAATCATAATTGTTCTAAAAAATTAATGTTAAATATCCCATTTAGGTTTATATTAATGTTTTTTACGTTTACAGATGTATTTTGGTTTTATTACATGATAAAATTTTACAGAAACAGTAGTAAGTTCTGTGGGTTACTATTAAATATCTGGAGGAATTATAAAAGTTACATATTGTACTGGAACGCAAAAAATAGAGTAAACCGCAAGTGCTTCTGGGTAATATTGAGACAGAAATGGGTGGACTTTTTCTGGTTATGTGTTCAGATGGGTTGGGCTGGTATTTATGTTCAGGTTGTTGTTAGTGACTGTTTAAAAACGACACCATTAGTCAAATGTTACTTTGTACATGATGAATAAAAAACGGGAAAGCACTTCCTGTCAGGGAAGTTCCTTGATAGCACAACTGAAAGAAAGGTGTTGTAATTAGTCCGTGACTCCAAAACATCTGCAAAAACAGAGTGTTGAGGTTGGTTGTTACAATATTACTTTGTGACTGAAAGCCTAGTTCTTGTATTCACGGTTTGCCCCTGGCCCAGGCTGACCTGTCTTGGTAGGATTTGTTAACTGTTTGAAAGACTTTAACTCAGGCGTCACTTTTAGTTTCTGCTGGTCACAGGGATATCCTACATTTATGTAACTGCAGTCAGAGGTTTACATTTGGGCATGAATATCAAATAGGTTTTTTTAAACAAACTATTTTTTTTAATTAATTTTTCAGTTTTAAACACAACAATACAGAACACCCCCAGCCCCTTCCCTCCTACATCGGATCAGTCAAACATGCATAAGCAAACTAAATGGGCACTGCCATACATTCTACATACAACACAAAGGGCTGCCAAATGTCCCAAATTTTTTTTACAGAACCCGTTAGGGTGTACCTTAGTTTTTCCAGGTGGATCTGGTACATCAACTCTCTTACCCAATGTACATATGCTGGCGGGGGGTGAGGGTGGGGGGGGTCCTTACAGTTACACAAAATTAGCCTCCTGGCCAGAAGAGAGCCAAAGCAATCATATCCCTTTCGCATTTGCTGAAGGACATATCCACAGGAACCACCCTGAACAGTGAGATGAGTGGTGATGGGCAAACAGTTTGATACATATTCCAGAGAAGATGTCATAGATTGCCAACAAGTCTGCAGTTTGGGGCAGGTCCATAATGCATACAGGAGTGTAGCTGGAGTTTGTTTGCAATGATTGCATGCTGGGTCCAGATCGGCCTTAATCCTGGACAGCTTGACTTTGGACCAGTGCAGCCGAGTTGCATTCGGGCCTAAAAAGTCCTGACCCGGCCCCAGCCCGTAGCCATTTTTTTTAACCCAATCTGATCTGTTCAAATTAACTGTAATTACAGGCCCGAACCAAAAATAAAATCGCCATTGTTTTTATTAAGCTTTTGCTGCTTTTGTAAGCAAATCAATTTGACACAATGTTTTAAAAATATACAAAGTATTTCAAAGAGAGAAAGATAAATTTCTTGTTTCACCAAATGGAAACATACAAAACAAATAGCCTAAAAAAAAATCAACTCTAAAGATAGGTTATTATACAGATGAACAAAAATATTTTTAGAGCAAAATTATTTGGAAAAATATAGAACAAGGCTATTTTAATTGAACACACTACTCGCTACAGCTTTTTTAGATGCTGCTACTTCCTTCACCACAGATGACAGCAGGTGTGGAGATGTACGCAGCCGGTGATCAGCTGATTGATCCATCCATCCATTATCTTTACCCGCGTCTTCCTTTTCGGGTAGCGGGGGTTGCTGGTGCCCATGTCCAGCCATCACTGTGTGAAAGGTGGGGTACACCCTGGACAAGTCGCAAGTCCATTTCAACCGGCGGGTCAGCGGACGCGTGCGGATCAGCTCTTTACCCTCACTGGGGTCCTCGAGGGGTCACGGGAGTTTGCCCATCCTGTCTACATGTGTTTTGTGGATTTGGAGAAGGCATTTGACCGTGTTCCTCGAGGTACACTGTGGGGGGTGCTCCGTGAGTATGGGATTGGAGGTCCGTTGTTACGGGCTGTTCAGTCCCTATACAAGTGGTGCGAGAGTTTGGTTCGTATTACCGGCAGTAAGTCGGACCCCTTCAGGTTGGGAGTTGGACTCCGCCAGGGCTGCCCGTTGTCACCGATTCTGTTCATAACTTTTATGGATAGAATTTCTCAGTGCAGCCAGATGGCGGAGGGTTTCCAGTTCGGTGGCCTCAGGATTCCATCTCTGCTCTTTGCAGATGATGTTGTCCCGTTGGTGTCATCGTTCCGTGATCTTCAGCTCTCAATGGAGCGGTTCGCAGCCGAATGTGAAGCGGCTGGGATGAGAATCAGCACCTCCAAATCTAAGGCCATGGTCCTCAACCAGAAAAGGGTGGATTGCTCTTTTCAGGTCGAGGATGAGTTTCTGCCTCAAGTGGAGGAGTTCAAGTATCTCGGGGTTTTGTTCATGAGTGAGGGAAGAATGGAGCGTGAGATTGACAGATGGATTGGTGCAGCATCTGCAGTATTGAGGACTCTGTACTGGTCCGTTGTGGTGAAGAGAGAGCTGAGCTGTAAGGCAAAGCTCTCTGTTTACCGGTTGGTCTACGTTCCTACCCTCACCTATCGTCATGAGCTCTGGGTAGTGACTGAAAGAATGAGATCGCAGAAACAGGTGGATGAAATGAGTTTTCTCCGCAGGGTAGCTGGACTCTCCATTAGAGATAAGGTGAGAAGTTCAGTTATTTGGGAGAGACTCAGAGTACAACCACTACTCCTCCACGTCGAGAGGAGCCAGTTGAGGTGGTTCGGGCATCTGATAAGGATACCCCCTGGGTGCCTCCCTAGAGAGGTGATTCGGGCATGTCCAACTGGGAGGAGACCCCGGGGAAGACCCAGGACACGCTGGAGAGACTATGTCTCTCGGTTGGCCTGGGAATGCCTTGGAATCCTCCCAGAAGAGCTGGAAGAAGTGGCTGTGGAAAGAGATGTCTGGGCCTCCCTGCTCAAGCTACTGCCCCCGTGACCCAACTTCAGAATAAGTGGAAGATAATAGATGGATGGATGGACTTTAATCTGATTCCTGGATTTTGAAATAGCAACGCGTTAGATTACTTGTTACTGAATAAAGTGGTCCGATGTCAGTAACGTGTTACTTTGTAACGTGCTAATGACATCAATGAACATATGTACAGCAGACTGGCTGTCATTTGTAGTTACAGGTAGATAAATTTGAATCCATCCATCCATCCATTATCTTTACCCGCTTATTCCATTTTGGGTCACGGGGGTTGTTGGTGCCCATGTCCAGCAATCACTGTGCGAGGGGCGAGGTACACCCTGGACAGGTCGCAAGTCCATCACAGGGCCACATAGAGACAAACAACCATTCACTCTCTCACTCACACCTAGGGACAATTTAGAGTTACCAATCAGCCTAACATGCATGTTTTTGGTCTCTGGGAGGAAACCGGAGTACCCGGAGAAAACCCACGCATGCACGGAGAGAACATGCAAACTCCACCCAGAAAGGCCCCTGGACTGGGGTTTGAACCAAGGACCTGCTCGCTGAGAGGCAGCAGCTCTACCAGTTGCGCCATCGTGCTGCCCGATAAATTTGAATGTAATCTGCAAAACAATGAAAAGATACTTTGTACTTTTTAAAGAGACAATCCAGAGGCAGCAAGTACAAGGCAAAAAGATCAGGCGCTAATATCGACCCCTGGGGCACCCCATATTTCAAAGGAGACACAGAGGATCAAAAATATATATATATATATATTTTTTTTTTAACAAGACTTTATTTTATTAGTTCTGTATTCCAATTCAATATTTAGCACATTAAGTCACAAACATCAATTTCCAGTATAATCAAACAAATGGGTACAACAAGAACATCCGAACGGTTCGGCGAGTTGAAAGTTCCAAAGAGTCTTTCCTCCACTGATCAGTGGAGTATAAAAAACAGGTTACACTCAGAAAAATAAAGGGAAGGTCTTCCTCACGCGGTTTTTGTCTACATCTTAACAGAAACACATGTTAAACATACACACAGAGTTTACCTGTGTATTTACATTTATTATACATGCTACAATGTCAATTTCAAGTATGTTATCAAAGGGTTCCACCT